TTAGAACAAAGTGTTCTTGCATTGAGGGAGGACTTCAATAGAGGCCCAATGTCCGTCTGCTACCTTAATATTTAACATATAAATATATGTATATAGATCTATTTCTCTATCATTATATATAAATATATTTATATATGTACATGCCTGTATTTAGACCTCTGTAAATGTCCTTTTGCCTCCTAGTTCTTTCCTCTATTTCCTTTTACTGTCCTCTTGTCCCATTACCATGTTTAACCTTCATGTGGCTTTCATTAATTCCTCTTGGTTACATTGCACTAGCTCAAATCCACCAGGCATCCTACTCCCTTCTCACCATCGATTTTTAAATCACTTGTTGTTCCCTTGTCCCTGGGTTTGTTAACGCTCTCCATCCTTTCCCCTGCCTCCCCCCTCCCATGTTCCCCCAGAACCATCAGTCCTGTTGTTTTCTGCTCCAGATTGTTTATCCCACCTATCTTATCCCGATAGAAATGCAAAAACAATAATAAACACAAAGGAAAACAAAAATACAACAACACAAAAGAAAAGCTTATAAATAATTCCAGGTCTGTCTGTTGACCTTTAGGAGTGTTTTCTGGTCGAATCTGATGAGGTGCCACGCCCTGACCCTGAAATCTATTTTTGGGATTCCTCAGGCACTTCATTGCTTTGCTCCCCTTGCTGCTCTGATGCATGCCCTTAGTTCTCTATACCAATGTCTCTGTAGTTTACCTTTATAAAAATTCCTTCTTTTGAAAAGTTTCCATTTCTTCCTAATTTTTTGTATGTTGTTTAATTCATCCGCAATGTACAAATTATTGTACAAAGATGTACAAATTATTAACCAACCCTTCTTGCATAATTTATTGAATAAGGAATCGTAGTTTCCTAATTTATAATATGTTTACAGCATTTCAGAAATTGAATGAGAATAAATATGAACACCAGGTCATGTGAGACATTGAGTCATGCATTAAGTAATATCGGATTAGCCAATGGCTACCCAAAAAAAGTGATCTCTGGCTTGAAATCTACTTTTTAAAATACTAGTACCTATCTATAATGTCCCTACTGAGTTAGAAAGGAGATTTGAGATGCTGCAGTTATCAAGAGATATTGAGCACTCCTCCCAAGGGCAAAGAATTAATAGTCCTTTTGTTTCCTTCCTCCCCGCCCCCAAACATTCTGTGACAATATTAGGTACAGTTATGCTGAATATCTAGGAAGTTGAAATTGCCATTTAATGCTGGATAGCCACAGAGCACAACTGAAGATCCAGTGGGCGCTCACGTGCACGTATCAGTGGGAAGGACGGCTAGCGGCCAGGGCCTCCGTGGTGCCGGGGAGGAAGGAGCGTGAAGAATGGCAACACTCACGAGAAAACCTCCAGTGTCCGTGTTCCTTGTCAGGGTCAAGCCAAGGCTCATGTTGGTTTTCATCTCAGTGACATTTGGAACGTTGATCGAAGCTTTCAAAGGGAAGAACATTTGTAAAGTGATTAAATCTTCACCTGTTTAAGTTTGGAGAGTTCAAGGGTAGGGGGCACACCAGCGGTTCTATGTAGCATTGAATATAGTGTCATGGACCGAGCACATGATCTATGTAATGAAGGGGAATCTCTCGTGGAAACAAGCTGCCTTCAGTGATCTGGAAGCCTGCTTCAGTATATGATGCTACACAGTACAACATATCAGAGGGGAGGAGGGTGTGGAGAAGGAACAGCTCGTAAATCTTAAAATTTAGGTAAATAATAAGAATAATGAGCTGGCTAAAGAAAACACATCCTCTTTGGTCCCCAGCTTGCTACCCTTGTGCTTTCTAAGACCCTGATGTGGTTTTCCTCCATCAGTAAAATATTCTTCAAGTGTTAACAAAAGTTGCCTTATGAAGGTACCCAGAGAGAGCAATAGTGGGTACATTCTAAAGTAGAAGTTATGAGACTTCCACCAAACAAACAAACAAGCAAACAAACAAACAAAAAAACCCAAGTCCACTGTCATTGAATTGATTCTGACTCACAGTGACCCAAGGGAGTAGAACGCTCTGGAGTTTCTGAGAGTTAATTCTTTAGAGAATTGGAAAGCCCCGTCCTGCTCCCTGGAGCCACTGCTGAGCTCCAAGGGCTGACCCTGCAGTTAGGAGCACACTGCATAATCCACTAAGCTGCCAAGGCTCCAGTTATGAGACTAGCCATATAAAATAGTAGATAAAATAAATATCTCCACCCTCCTCTCTGCCACTGAACCAGAACATCACTTTAACGATCCCTAATTTACTGCGCATTACAAATTTCCTCAATTGCACTATTTGCTCCTGTCCTCTCTTTTCTACCAAATCACTTCCATTTTTCTGTACTGAAACTCCCTCCCTCTGTTTCCAAAGGGATGGCTTTAAAGCTTTATCCTCTCAGGCCTTCAATCTCCACCTGGGTCCCGTCCTCTCAGTGAACAAATTGTCTTCTGTAGCGAAGATGAATCACACTGGGAGAGCATCCCACCTAAAGGTCCCTCCATCACCACCTACAGGTCATCTCAGGACGCTTCTTCATCTTCTCCCTTTAGATCTTTAGATCTTGTATCTTTTATAGAGAGGAAGTATTTTCTACTAAGGCTCATTTTCTCAGGAAACAGTCACATTTATTCCATTGTCTAACTCTATCCTGTGCTAACAGTTACTCCATCTCCACTGTCTCCTTCCACTCTCCAAACAAACAGGTCCTTCTCCTTTGATTTATCTAGAACAATTCTCCCCGGCTCTCCGTCACGCCTCCCTTTCTGGAGATGGAAGTCCACTTTGGTGTCTGGTAACTTGCTCACTGCTCATTTACCCCCCAGTTTTTTATAATCTACCTTCTCCCCTCAGCACAACTGGATTTATATTCTAGCAAGTTACACAAAAGATGATCCACTGGGGTGCCCAAGAAAATAAAGGAGCTTACAGAGGTATGTTTTCATATTTTATATTATGCAAACATACAATTAGGAAGATGTGTCGGTGTATGCATATAGTTAGTAACCCATAAAAACGTGGGGGTGAATAGTTTTATTATTTGAAAGAGATACAGATATACACATAGGTAGAGATATGGATGAGTATTCAAAAAATTTGGAGGTTCGTGATCTAGGTCAACCTCAACCTTATTAAATAGGCCCATCCTTTCTCAGTTATCATACACATGCTTCCTGAACCCTATCACTTGGCAAAGAAGAGACATTGGTGGTTCAGTGGATTGAGCTTTAGGCTGGTAACCAGAGCATCGTTGGTTTGAACCCACTAACGGCTTCATGAGTGAAAGACAAGGCAGTCTGCCTCGGTAAAGATTTAAAGCTTTGTAAATCCTGGGGAATAATCTTACTCTATCCTATAGGGTCTCTGTGGTTGACAGCAGTGGTTGATTGGGTTCTATGCCAAAAATTATTCTAGATATTAAATAACAGAGATATGTAAGAAACAAACTTTCCTGAAAGTTTCCTCACAGTATCTGAAACTACTCTTGCCCTTGATTCCCATGCCATCGTTCCTAAATCATGTCTAATTTCTTCAGGAAAACTCCATGTCTCCTCAGTGTTTTGTTTGGTTTTTGTTTTTGATCATGATGATACTGGTAATGTGAGCTCTTATCAAAATCCATCCATCCATCCATCCATCCATCCATTGTGTCAAGACCATTTGTGTATATGTTGCCTTTCAAAATATGTTCTTTCTACTTGAACCCTTGGTATTAGCTCCGCATTTTTGTCCCTCCCTCCCTCATGAGCCCTTGGGTCATGTGATATTGATCAAATGGAGGACCACTTGACTTCCATTTCGCTGTATTCCATGGAACGTTAGTAACCTTGTGCATTAGTAGAAGGAATAGGAGATGCATGTAATTAAAGTAGCAAATAAGCACAAATCATCATTTTCTTTTATTACAGAGAAATCAGACATTATTAGGAACAGAGTGTGTCTTGGCACCTCCAAACTCAGCCCTAGAATTGATATTGCTACACATGATGGCTGCTTTGGGGATGAGAAAGGAGAGAGAGTGAGAGGTCTTCATATAAGGAATTAGCAAACGAATCCACATAAGAGTTGATAGGAGCCACACCACAATCTGGGGATAGATGATCCGGGAACCAGTAAACTCTCACGCATTACGCCAAATCAAACTGGGTTGGAAATTTAGAATTAAAATGGGCCCATCTGACTGAAGAGAGAACAATAAACATGGTCCATTTTGCTACTGTTTTTAAGTCTAGGATATAACAAATAAGATTGTGTTATTTAAAAAAAATCACATTGCGAATTAGAACTTACTTTGCAAATTCAGTTTTTCACACGTGGCAGTGGGCAGATCAACAGGACATCTATAGACATCCCCCATGCGGTTCTCGGGAAAGCCGCTCCAAGGCGAACCAACCAGTAACCTAGACACAGGGGTTATCTTCATTAGACATACAATATTAAGTATAGTTTCTAAAAGAGGGCCACGAGGCAGCAAATATCATCTCTAACTTGAGCTTTTCATAAGTGAAGAGCTCGATTTACTCAGCTTTCATTTGAGCCTTTTTTCTCATTGTTTTGGCTGATCAGGATCCTGGGTGAGTGTGTGCAATACCGCTGTCTTGCCACAACACTCTGCTCAGGAAAGGGAGTCCTAAAACAGTACTGCTCAGAAGAAATATGGCACAAACCACAAATGGGAGCCATCTATAGCATCTTATATTTTCGTAACCTGCATCAATAAAAAATGTGAACATAGTTTCGCAAAATATTTTATTTCATTCAATACATCCAAAATAGTATGCAGTTGACAAGTGATATAGAATATTAACAAACTGTTTTAAATTCTCCCTCTCTTTTGTGGGGGAGAGGGTCACTAAGTCTCTGAAACCTATTTGATCCTTAAAGCATGTCTCCACGTGGATTAACAGCACTTCATCTGCTCAACAGTTATCTGTGACTACAGACTTCTATATTGCTCAGCACAGATTTAAAGAATGAGACAGTCCCAGAACCAAGAATAACAACTAACATTTTTGAGTTCATTCTATGCCCTAAGTACTTTCACATATTATGTAATTAAGTTAGGGAGCCAATAGGTTATTCACGCACTTTATGTTAATGGAAGACCCTCAATACAATTGATTGATATAGAGGCTGCAACAATGAACTCACAGTAACAATTGTGGAAATGGCAAAGAACTGGGGACTGTTTAGTTCTATTGTACACAGGGTTGCTACCACATGGAGCTGACCTGACTGCACCGGACCACCACTACCACAATGTGTGTTTGTGGTCATCAGGAAGGGTCCTCAGGAAAAAGGCAGAGTTGATGAACGATGGAGCTCTCCTTAGATGGAAGAAGGGAGACATAGCTGGGTAACAGAATGTAAGGGGCAGAGAGACCAGAGTAGTACTTTTAGTAGTTTCACTCCCTACGGACCTTCTCTAACTAGAGCTACAATTGTCCCTGTAGAACTATTTTCTTGACATTTCCAACCATAGGAGAATTGTTTGAAAGAGCCCAGTTCACAGTCTGACCTTCAAAAAAAATGTAGCAGGTTAATTACTCAGAACTCAGTTATTAAGAATACATAATTGATTCAAAGTTTATTCTTCTCTAAACCACGGATGGGTCAGAATGCATTACCTAATTCTGAAACTTAAATTCTTTCATGAGCCTTCTGTATAAATAATTTATCAATCTCAATGAAACAATATAAATTGAGATGTATTCCATGTCCTATGCTACAGTGGATAAAAAAGACTAAGGTTTAATTCTTTCTACCAACCCTGATTAAAATATATGACAAGTCTAATCATAATCATACAAATGAATCAAAAGATATGACTAAGCTCATTTATGGAACAAACATTAAAACGGTCAAAAGATTCAAAGATGGACACTGAAGGATGAAGGTGGTGGATGATATTCTCAGCAGAGGGAACGGCAAGCACAGTCACGGAAGGAGAAAGTGCAGATTATTTTGATGGAACAATTATCAATTCAATATGAAGTCTCTTCGTCATCCACCATATAACTTTATTCTCAAACTAATGTAAAGACTCCTAACTTTAACTTAGTTAACTTTGATTAAAACTACCATTGAGAGGAAAGGTTTTTGTCTTTTTAGAAGTAGATGATTGATTAACATAAACCTATATTTAGGATTAAAATTATTCAATTGCATGTTGCTAAGGCTTTTTGGAAAAGATGGAACTAGAAATATTGAGTGTTACTAAGTACCAGTGTTTACTTAAATGGAGAAAGGGGCTCAGTAACTGGATATGAATGCATGGTGAAGCATATTGATGGTCTTCAAATTTATGACATCTCAGAGAAAATTAGGAAACTTGCAAAGACATTACAAGATGAAAACAGTCCTCCAGCAACTGATCTTCTTATGTGTTAGTCTTGGTGAGACTACACAGAACTAAGTCTGGGTTTTGTGTACAGAACACATCTTAAGGTACAAGAACAAAAAAGCGATTATGGAAGATTATCTTTCTATGCAACTCAATGTTTCAGCCATATTAAACTCAGGTCCTCCACCAAGTCAAAGTAGTTCTTGCTTCCAAATTGTCACACCTCTTGGTAAAATTCTACCCATCAGCTAGGTATCCTCGGAGGCACCACTTCCTTTAGGCACGCCCTCTGGTTCTTTGAAACAAGTAAGGTGCCTTTCCTGAGGACTTGCATAACCATTGAATTTTTTCAGTTTTTATCACATTGATCTGTAATTGGCTGCCTGAACTGACTAAATGCCACCTTAAAGTGGACAGCTCCATTGCGTGGGAATTCTGTGCCTGATGAAGGCAGCCCTGAATAAGTGCTTCCTGAACAAGCGAGCTGGAGAAAGATAACGTTTTCCACTCCTGGGTGGAGTTACCTGCTCAGAAACCCACAGGCAGTTTTACGTCCTACGGGGTCTCTCTCAGTCACAGTTGACTCAAGGCAGTGAATTTGCTTTTGGTTTTGAAACAAATATGTAAACTAAAGACTGGATAGTATTTATGTATAACTTCCTTTAGTTAAGGAAGAGTTAGAAAATCCTTAATTCTGTTCCTGTTGGTTGCATGATTCTTTATAAACTAAAAGGCACAAAAGGGGGCAAAGCAAACATGGACCATGGAAGCAAAGCACGCTGCTGTGACTGCTCTATGTCGCAGGAGCCCTGTGATGCAGTGGGTTACCTTGAGAATCACAGAGGCAGCGGTGTGAACCCATCCGTGGCTCCATGGGAGAAAGATGAGGCTGTCTGGTTGCATAATGATTGACAGTCTCACAAGTCCTAAGGACTAGCGTAACGCTGTCCTATAGGGTTGCTCCACCACTAGTCTGTCAATTTTGTGAATAGGGAAAGTCCCGTGGACTGTCCAAAGGTCAAACACATCTGTCTTGGAAGAAGTCAAGCCAGAATACTCCTTAGAATCAAGGATAGTGAGACTTCAGCTCACATATTTTGGACACGCTGTCCGGAGAAACCAGTCCCTGGAGAAGAACATCAGGCTTGGTAAAGCAGATGGAAGTGAAAAAGAGGACGGCCTTCAAGGCGATGGATTGACACAGCAGCTGCGACAGTGGGCTTAAGCATGGGAATCGTGAGGAGGGCGCAGGCCAAGGCAGCATTTAGTTCTGTTGCGCACAGGGTCCTATGACTTGGAACAGACGTGATGGCCCAGCACAGACTTGCTGGCAGCGAGTAACCACACCACAGGGTTGCTATGAGACAGACTCAATCCAACAGCAGCAGGTTTGGTTTAGTGGGGTCTCTGCCGGCTGTTCCTGACTTACCTGCCAATCATCTACTATGCATCAAACTTATTTTCTTTTTAAAACAAAAGATGACTGTGAACCCATTATAGGGAACAAAATAGCACCTTATAGTTAAAAGAGGAAACCTGGTGACATACTGCTTACTCATTGGGCTTCTAACTGCAAGGTCCACAGTTCAAAATCACCTCCTGCTCTGCAGGAGAAACCTGAGGCTTTGTACTCCCATAAAGAGTTACGGTCTCAGAAACTCACAGGGGCTGTTCTATCCTACTTTCTAGGGTCACGACGAGTCAGAATCGACTTGAAGTTAGTGAGGTGTTTTTTTGTTTTGTTTTGTTTTGTTTTGTTTTTTGGATAATTAGAAAGTATCATAGGAAGTTTGACTCTGACCCTTGACATTCTGGGAACTCCTATTACCAGAAGTAAGTCTTACTGTGTAAGAGACTTTCCAAACATTCACCAAGTGAATATAAGAAATGATTTATATCTTGTACTATCTGATCTCCATTCAAGAGCCAGCTGCTGTTCTGATTCACAGCAACCACACATGTTGCAGCGGCTTGCTTTCCACAGGATTTTCATGACTGCAACCTTCCCAAAGCAGATTGCTAGGTCTGTTTTCCAAATTACCTTTGCATTTGGTAGCTGAGCACTTAATTGTTTACTCCATTCAGGTTGCCCTAGTTAGTTAGTCCAACAGTTAGTCTTCAGTCACACTGAAAGATTGGCAGCTCAGTGCCACCCAGTAGCTCTGCAGGAGAAAGACCTGGTTCTTGTCAAGAATAGAGCCAAGAAAACTATGGGGCAGTTCTATTCCATCATGTGGGAGCCCCCGAGTAGAACTGTAGACAATAGTGCCAAACAGCAACATCGTCTCCCTTGTACAGATGGAACAATTGAGACCCAAGGAGGTGAGCGACTTCATCTAGTTCACATGGCTACGAAGAGCCATGTCTGTCCCACTTCGAAGCCGAAGCTCCACTCTTGAGCTACCCTCTTTCTTTTCGGCAGCATAAAAAAACTAGCTGAAGAAATGAATTGGCTTCCAGGAACAGCAAGGAGAAAAAAACTGTAATCCGAAGGTCAGAGTACAATGACTGTGATGGTGGGTGTGGTGTATGGTTTGTCAAGAGGCTGCAGATCAGACCCAGCCCCAGCCTTCCTTTGGTACTGCAGATGCGCACGGAAGGACCCAGTTTATACTGATTACAAAGCAGATTGGAATAGGTCAAGCATGGACTTCAGGTAATAGCAGGTGAGGCATTTTAGATTCTTCTATTGGGCACAAGGATCCCTGGTGGTGGAGTGATGAAAGAGCTCAGTTGCAAACCCAAAAGCTGGCCCTTTGAACCCACCCTCTACTTTGCAGGAGAAGAACGATGAGGCCATCTGTTGCCATAAACATTTACAAGCTCAGAAACAGGCTGAGGCAGTTAGTTCTCCATCGCCCTACAACGTTGCTATGAGTCAGAATCCAGTAGACTGCAGGGGGCCGATGGTCCACATTTCCTACCTACCCTGACACAGCCCAAGACAAACAAAGACTAGAACCCAAACTGAACACTAAACTCAGAAGCTATTACCGTTTTCTCTACTAGATAACTCAAAAGGCACTTTGTTGTTCCCTATCACCAACAAGATTCTCT